ACGTCGGAGGTAGCGAAGGTATTTGTGCTGCTTGTGTAGTGCTGTGCCTCGCCATTGTGATCTGAAACAGAAAGATAACGAATCATTTGAGAAACCCGAATCGATTCCGACAGAGAAAAAGAGAGAGAGAGAGTGCAAAAAAACAACTTCGACGTCAATCAACAACTCTCAGAGAGAACCACTTCGCCAACGCAATGAACCAGTCGTAGTCGCGTATATGACTTAATCGAGAGAAACTTGTGTGAGAACGATTTTCAAATCGAATAAATTTTTACGCCCCTCTCACAATATATTCTTAAAGAAAATTAATACGAATTTATTTTTGCTTTCATTACGTTTTGTAAAATTTAGGATATACTCAAAAGAAAAACATTTTTTTAAAAAAAAAAAAAATTATCAGTTTGCCGATTTTGTATAATTAAACCTAACCTTAACATTGAGAGCTATACCTAGACGGTTCGGAAAGTAAATTACTTGACGTAATCTACGTAACTTTCTACATGTATATATTACCAATGGTAAATTACGTCTTGTGTTTTCGACATATTTTACGTCTGTTACAAACATAACCTATAAATTCTTAAATTTCACTAAAAACTGCAAAAAGGAACTAAGAAAATTTAGAAAAAATTCCGATTGTTGGTATTACTGCGGATTTGCATGAGTTACTGCGGCGCTAAAACTTTGCTACGTTTATAGCCCCTGGCGGATTGGTTGGACTGAATTTCGTCCAAACTCGGTACAGTTTAGTCCGAGTTGGGACGAAACTTAATTAATACAAATCCGCAGTAATACCAACAGACGCAATTTTTTTATAAATTCTAAATTTTGTAGTTTTTTTTATAAGAAATGCAATTAATAATTTTCTGTCACACAATATTTTAATTGCCAGAATAATATTTGTAAACAGGGTTGGGAAGTAAGAGCCAAAAATATGTTCGTCCAAAGCAAAGTTGGGAAGGATTGGAATTTTGTCCAACAATAATTTTCCGGAAAGTGTAACTTAGGCTGTTTTTACAATAAAAATGAAATATTTATACTTTTTGAAAATTATTATTGGACAAAATTTTAATCCTATCTAACCTCATCTAACTTTTGGACGAACGGTTGGTTTCCATTGTCCCCACCTTGCCATTTGTCATAATTCTCGTCAACTACCACACCCTGCTCTAGGGAAAATTTATGGAGCATTTACACCTTCGGCAAAAAATTTTCTTCACTTTGCATTTTCCGAAATACACTTACCAGATTGGTTGTCCAGAATCTGATTCATTGTGGACAACCAATCAGGTAAGTGTATTACGGAAAATGCAGCGTGAAGAAAATTTTTTGCCAAAGGTGTAAATGCTCCATATGTTACGTTATTGTTAAAAGTAAAAGTTACTATAAAGTTACAAAATTTTTACTAGAGCATTTTTCACTGTTGACTACCGCACCCTGCTCTAGTGAAAATTAAGTAACTTTATACTAACTTTTAATTTTAACAATAAAGTCACTAAATTTTCACTAGAGCAGGGTGCGGTAGTTGACAGTGAAAAATGCTCTAGTAAAAATTTAGTAACTTTATGGTAACTTTTAATTTTAACAATAAAGTCACTAAATTTTCACTAGAGCAGGGTGCGATAGTTGACGAGAATTATGACAAATGGCAAGATGGGGATTTTGCCGAGTGGGGACAATGAAAACCAACCAATGGAAATGAACCTATGGAACTGTTTAGGCTGTTTTTACAATACAATGTAGTTAAATATGTACACTTAAATATCGTATTTTTGTTTTGTTTCCGAATATCGAAACAAAAACAAAATTCGACTTCCGTGAAGGTCCATATGCCTTATATCAAATCAAAACACATTCTAAAATAATATCATAAAATTAGTGAATCGAAAGTGATGATGCAAACTTATATATACAAAGTAAATAAACTTTGCACACACAGGAAATGTGAATAATGAAAAGTATGATTGATTAGAAATTGTACAATTAATCTTTTAAAAAAAGAGCTTTGTTCTTTAAGTCCTGACATCTCTGGGGATTATTATCGCAGATGAAATATGAAATAAAGAGAAAGAAACTTGGCATTTAATTCCATAGAGATATAAGAATAGAGTGCGCAAGAGGCTCGTAAAAACGACAGATTATATGCGTTGAACAGAAAGAGACAGATGAGATTTGTAGGCCCCTTTCCCATCCTTGTTTCACTGATGTTTCAAAGTTAGTAAGACAAGAAGGAAGGCAGGGCCCACTAGTTGCAACTGTCTTCTTTTATTGGTCTGTCGCAGCGTAACATGGAAATTGTACAGGCTTGCGCACTCTATTCTTATATCTCTATGTTTAATTCACTTGACCTTCTTTAGTGATAATGGTGAGTTATGGCAAAATGAGATGTCGCAGGTTAGTAATAATGGATAATAGTATACAGAAGGATACTGCACGAAGTAACTCGGTATGCGAGTAATGAAGTTGTAACATGGAGATAGTAATTTATGGTAAACCGACAACGGAAGGTTGGAGAAATCTTCAATAAAAGGAAGTTTATGAACATTTTGAATCTATCAAGGATATACTTCTAATAGCAGAATTTATATTTATGAAAAAAAAAATCATTGGATATTTAAGTTCCAAGGTCCATGGTGAAGAAAGGGAGAAATATTTTTCGAAAAAAAGTCCCCTTGAAAAAAAACATTCTTGTCCCAGAATCTAATTCTCAGAACTGGGCCGCGGTAATGCAATTCTTATGGGTTGGAGTTATAGATGCTCAAGGCAAGGACAACATCCTACTCGTCGATGAATCCCACTTTTATCTTCAATCGTCTCCGATTTAGGAATCAAGTTACCTCGTGAGTCGTTTATATGTAATTGGCAACCTTCTTTCTCGGTGGGAGTGCAAATGTATATACATATATATATATATATATATATTTCCAATAATTGTGTGTGCGTTGAAAGTGGTCTAACAAGTCAGCCATCCTACTGAAGTGATCTTGCCCGTGAAAGGGACCCAGGGGTCCAAGAATACATCACACAGCATTACAAATAAGAATACAGCTCCTTGAGATCGATTTGTATTTTAAATTGGATTCCTCCACTGGAGGTCGTCGATAATATCTCTATGATTTTTGGATATGGTAGAATGGGAAGCTATGTACAATATTTATAACTGTGAATCAATTTAATCGGGTAGTCCGTTAATTCAACAATCAGTTAAATCATCCTTCGAATTAATTACCGATATGTATTTTGTTTGATAAGTATTTAGAGATAGGACGTTCTAAATATAAGTAGCCTTATGACTAAGCTCTTTCGGTCTATATTTGTGGAATACTTAGATGTTTTCGATTACCTTTTCCAGCTATAACAACTCAGAAAACACCAGAGTTCAAAATGAACTAATTTCTAGATTATACAACACTGATGCAACTTTCAACGAAGATTTTCAATTTCATTCATCCAACAGCTTTTCAGAATACCATGACAAATATTAACGCAGTTGTTTTGATTCTGTGGAGGAGGATTGAAATATTGTCTCGAAACAATATTTTAAGCTCCCAGTTATCGTTATTAGGTTACGTAACTATTGCCTTCTGTGGGACTAACCAAAACTAGGTCAGACCACTGAGTAGACCGCAAAGCGACATTTGTAATTCTATTAAACATTAATAATTCTTTAGATATAAAGTTGTGTGTGCGTCTCTCATCGTTCTTTTCTGCTCACTAACTAGGTCGGTTTTATTGATGTCTGTCCCATTGTTGACGCACACCCTGCACATACCTGGGATGACTCCGAGTACTCTCCCCCTTAATTTATTCTTCTCGTCAAATTATCATATTAGGCACAGATGGCAGGTTTTAGAAAAAAAAAAAAAAAATTGTACACGATGATGAATTAGTTCATCTTCCTTTCATTCAAGAAATCCTTACCCAAAAAGTGTTCCACTTTCCCTTTTTTTTTTTCTTTCAATACTTTCAATAATCGTGTCGGGGTTTTTTTTTCTCACTCTCTTTATACCTTTTTAAGAAAATCGAGTCGCGGGAAAAATGAGTCATTGGTCGATGAAACCAAATGTGAACTGACGAGAGTATAAAACATGTTGTGGATTACGTCAAATGCGTTGTCGTCGCTACAAACCTTATATGGTTTGATTCAACTTCTCTTCTCTTCTTACGTTATGTATAAAATTTTTTTTTTTTTGAGTAAATGAAAAAATAAAGATTTGATTCAGCAATCATATTAACTTTGGTCGATTTGTTAATATCCCCATTATTTTGTTTTATTAGCATCTCTCGTGGTTTAAGATTGATTGGCGATTTATTGTTTCTTATGAAAGACGCTATCGTGAATCTGCATCGCGTGTCTCTTTCTCTCGGAATGGTCAATCGTTATTGCAAAATCCTCGCGCAGTGGAAATTTATTCCGCCCTGACGTCATATGTCAAAGCATCGTGAAAGTATCTGTAATTTCACTGACAAATTGGGTCTCAATGATTCTTATTCCAAATAGGTATTTGTTCCAAATATAATGTTATATTTAAACAATTTTTATCTAAAACAAAATTTATTCATTTTGTAATAGAATTATATTATCGACGAGCATATAATTTAGATTATCCATCGACACTTTAAAGAACAGGTTTAAGAATACATTAAAAACAGACTTTAGATAACACTGGTAAAAAAAAAAATTTTTTTGTATATAAAACGATGAAATAACAGGTAAAATCTATTAAAATAGAAATAGAACGTTACGAAATATAAACATAATTTTTTTTTTCTAATTTCTTTTTTGATTTTTTTCTCCTACTTTTCTGTGAATTAATGAGTCATCGTACACCATTCTGTCGCGCCAAGACAAAGTACAAGAGTGCGTTGACTTTGGAGAATAAATGTCTTTTGAAAGGAGTGTTAATGTGACTTTGTGTGTTTAAGGAACCTCTTATATACACCTCTCTCGGAAAGCCGCTATATATATGCCGACAAACACCGTTTTATGTTTCCTCTTTTTGGTCAGAGATGATGATGCGTGCCGTTACTTTTGTTTCAATATTTGCGGGGTTTTGTTATTACGTTTCCTCAACAAAAGAGACAAAAAAAATCTAATCATTTCTTGTTTATTTTTTAAATAGTTTTTTAGTGTCAATTTATAAAATTTGGACCAACAGAAAACCTTGGGTTTATTAGTTTTTGATGGTCCTAAAACAATTTTTTTTTAATAACTAAAAAAAATGGGACAAAATTGAATTGGCACTAGATTTTAATTTTTCCAAGCAGCTACAATAAGATTAGTAATATTATTATATTTCCGTTTACTGCGGTAGGCGAATGCAAAGGGATTGGCGAGTGTTGAATGTTTGTGAAATGAGCGTGGTACAGATCCGGGCGATATTATTTAAAAGAATACAAAGTAAAAGTAGGCGTGGCTACCAAGTTGTGCTAACTCGTGCTCTTGGTGATATAAACATATAGATTCGACAAGTCACTATGACTGGCGGTTGCAAAAAAAAAAAAAAAGTAAAATAATCCTAATCACCTTCTCTTATTTACAAAATTATATAAAACAATTTCCACTTTCCAAATTAAATCAGGGATTAATTTTTCCCGAAAGTATAATTAATTTCGTGTAAAGGAAATTACTAGAGACATAATTAGGTATTGTAGCGTCGTTATATTAGTTGAGGATTTATTAATTTTTCATTTACGATTTATCTTCATAAAAATACCTTTTTTTTACTGAAATACTGCCATGTATCATATTTTCTAATTGGTTATATAGACGTAGAACCATATATCAGGTAGAAATAAGAAAAACTCGTTTTGGTATACAGAAGCCGACATTCGGTCACCGTGACCCAGCGTTTGACGGCACGCGACCAGTTTCGAATGGGCTCTTTACTATTATGAAGGTGCGATTCATCCACGTATTATGTCAACAAAAGACTTGCATAACCATGACCTGAAACAACATTCATATTAAAATCACACACAAACAACTTACACCTAAATAACAGATAGGACACGCACGTTTTATTATAAGCCCTCGCAAATAGAGAGAAAGTGTAAAATAACATTCCACAATCTCAAGAAATAGAACACAATTTCAAAAAGACACACCCACACGTCTCAATTCGCAATCGGTGATAAATTTTGCCTAAACATAAAATCTAGTATTAACATCGAAAATAAAGTTCCATCTTTAAATGGAAATTATTAAATATATTTAAATCAGTATTTTCATTTATAACAGAAAGCAAAAGGGTACTATTAATAATAATAAGCATTATAAATAAATATATGATGCACAATGAGCCTTTTAATATAGTAAAGGTATATGCGAGATAAAATTACGTGATCACGTGGTCTCGAGAACGTGCCTTATAACCTTATATACAATATGCAAGAGACTCGAGAACAGCTGGTTTCATTACAATTAAATTTCCTTTCTATTTCCCTCTTTATAAAATGATTATTTCCTTCATTAGACTCGCTCCATTACCGGAAATTAATATAGTTTTATTAACGAAAAAATAATTTGCAAATATTTCCTATTGAATTATATATCGATATATTTTAAAATCAAGTATTGTATATATATATATGAAAAGAGAGAAAATACGTATAATCAACATTTTACGCTATTTTAACATTCAAATGAGCCGAATATAATATACAAAATGTTTAAGCATTATTCCCTCAAATTAACACAGTTTAATAAAATTCCTAGTATTCTCGTTAATAAAATGTATAATACAAACTATATATGGCAAATGTGTATATTTTTCCGCATGAGAGGTTATAACTTCAACTTTTCTCTTTGTAATAATTTTGCCGAGATTTTTTTTTAGGTTCTGGTATGGTCCAATTACTGCGGTTTCTAACAATTTATCAGAATTTACTATTTAGTGATAAATAATTGTTTACTGAAATGGTCTCAAAACTTATAGTAACTTTTACTTTTAACAATAAAGTCACTAAATTTTTACTAAAGCAGGGTGCGGTAGTTGACGAGAATTATGACAAATCCTCACTCGCCATTTGTCATAATTCTCATTAACTACTGCATCCTGCTCTAATGAAAATTTAGTAACTTTATAGTAACTTTTACTTTTAACAATAAAGTCACTAAATTTTTACTAGAGCAGGGTGCGGTAGTTGACGAGAATTATGACAAATGGCAAGGTGGGGACAATGGAATAACCAAACCGAGTTTGGACGAAATTCGGTTTAACAAATCCGCCAGGGCTATAAACGTAGCAAAGTTATAGCGCCGCAGTAATTCATGCAATCCGCAGTAATACCAACAATCGAAATTTTTTCTAAAATTGGAATTCTCCAAGTTTCTTTTTGCAGTTTTTAGTAAAAATTTAAGAAAATGATAAAAACTGAGAGTGTCAAATGGTGAAATGAGAGAAAAATGGAATCACTTACCAAGAGAATCGTCAGCGTGGCCCCCCGCCAGTCCATGGCTAAAATAAAAGAGAAAGTCTTATTAATAACTGGGTCGAAGTGCCCGCGGAAAGATCTTACAGTCTGCACATACATCATTCATATACATATATATATAATAAACACAAGAGTGTGAAGGTTCCCTCGCGTGTAAAAAAATACACAACACTTGAAACTGCCGAAATATTCCCTTTCACTTGATCTCATCCATTCTGATGATGTTTCATTATATATATATATATTTCTTAAATTGTTTATAATAGTATCAGGAAGTGGTAACTTTTCCAATTTCGACTTTCATTCAAAGATAATTTGTTGAAATTTTTTTACTTTCTACTTATTGTCTATCTTTTAATATCACATTATTTTATTGTGATATTCTTATAATACTATTGTAAAAGAACCTTAAATATATTGAAATTACTATTGTCATTAATACTATATAATTATTTTTATTTAATTCAAAAATACGTGGCATACTTTTAGATTTTATGATATTCTTTACATAGTAATTAAGAAATCAAAGTTAAATAACAGATGATTTCAAATGTGAAACGTGCGATAGAAAAAGACATAAATCTCTATCCTTTTCTATCTCATGCTTCGTGTTTGCTCAGAACGAAAATTAAAAAAATGTTTTTTGTTATATTTTCTGTTTTTCTAACCGTTTCTGTAATTATAAAATAAATGGTCTAGTTTAAATAATTATAATTTTATTTCTATTCAATATTTTCTCAAAAGTTCTACACATTTCTGTTCTACTTTAGAGTGACAGGGTTGGGTAATTGAATTTCGAAAATTTCCCTTCGTTTCTAATTGGCTCGTGGTATTAAAAAAAAAATTTCGTTGAAAACGACATCCAATGAAAACTGTTAATGGATTTTCGACGAATCGCTTCTCATCCCTGCTTGCTGGTCATAGAAAAATAATTCCGAATTAGCTGGGATTCCCGTATATGACTGTTTTTAGCAATAATAGAATTAAATGATTATTTTTTGTAATTGTTACATATTATTACTATTATAATTAAGAATTAATTATAATTAATTCTTAATTATTGAAAAAAAATATATGTATTTAAAATTGTTAAAATAAATATAAAATTGAAAAACAAAATTCCATATCTCATACCTTCAACAATAATCTCAGTTCTTTAATTCCTTCACTGAAAACAACTTTCATTGCTTCAATTATAAAAAAAAATTTCAATTATTATTGTCCCTTTACTATACTTCAATAATGATAATTTTTATTATCAAACCGCACATTATATATTGTTTTCCTATTTTTTTTTTCTCTTCACAACTTTCGTCATTGCAAAAACACTTTTGATGTTAATAATAACGGAAATTGTTAAAAAATCATGATAAATTTGAATATTTTTGTTCATTAGAATAAATTCAAATTAACAAATCACTTTCTGAACTCGTGCTCGCAGACAACAACATTTTCATTGTAAAGTAACAAGTTCTCCAAGATGGCGGCCGGAGACGCAAAACCGTTCCAAGAAAACGTGGGAATTGTCGATTTGTTGGTAAGGAAGGAAATTGAAAAATTAAAAATAAAGGGGGGAAAATAAGGGGGCCGGAAGTTGAATGATGAGATTTTTGGGCTCCACTTCCGGCCCAAGAAAATTAAACTAAAAAAACAAAACTATTATTGTGAAAGCGATTGCCAACACATAAGAGGAAGAGGATCGAAATTCACGTTCACTTTTTTTTATGAGACAGTTGACGGTGTGTTAATCTCTGGACCGGAACGAGATCGCCGCGACGTATTACCGGCATTTCCTTTTAGTTTTTTTTTTTGAAACTATTTTTCTTTTAAGGAACGCGACGCCGCGATTTTATGAGCAGTTTAAGGCGCATGATCCGAGACCAACTGCACCGGGACCGACATCTCACGAGGTTCTGCCTTCTAGGCACGAGAAAGGAGCAAAAGGAAATGACCGGGATTGGCCAGGGACGGCTGTCTACTTTCCAGATCCTTAACCCTTTCTCTCCTCGTAAAAATGCGTTTAAACAATTTAAAAAAAAAAAAATTATGAAAATTACTATTTTAGGTATTGCGAATGTTTTACAAAATTCAAAATGGCGGATCCAATATGGCGGAGTATTTTCAAAATTAAACGAATTCGCTTATTTGTTTAAATAATAATAATAATAATTGACATTCCGTACAAAATTGGTGAAATTAATTCTGTAATATATTTTCTATACTCTCTAAATGTATTCGTAAAAATTTTAACTCATTTTTTCGTAAAATTTAACTAATTAAAAATTTTTTACAATCGAATTAGAAAAATTTAATTCAAAAGCAAAAAGGGAGTTACTAATTTAAATTATATAGTTAAAAATTAAATTCAAATTTAAAATAAGTGGAAATTGAAATTAAAATATCAAACAAGCAAAATCGACAATAAATGAAAGTTGAGAAATAATTAAATGTTTTTTTCTAAAAAAAAGAGCATTCGCACGCGAATATATAATTTAGTGTACCTATAGATAACAATTTTCGACACCGGAAGCAGGTGTTTCGTGGTGTGGTGAGGTTTTTGAGCCAGGGGGACCGAAAGTCAACCCAACCAGAAAGTGTTCGTAATAAGAATTCAAGGTCAATATTAAACAGTGCTCACTTAAACGTGTAAATATTAAGTTTCAAATGAATAACTATTTTCTAATGCCTTGAGAAAATGAAGTGAAACAAAACTATATAACTACAAAACTAAAATTCAAATTATAAAATAATATTTTCATTTCGTTATAACTTATCACACTAATACTATAAAATAATATTAAACTAATAATTACTTTATACAAATAATTACTTAACACTTATTAAAATTTTATTTTTACTTTATTTCTAAAATTGTTTATATCAATAGTAAATTATAATTCAATTGCAAAATTCAATTTAGTTAATTAAATTAATTATTAACTAATTATTAATTAAATAATTAATTGTAAAAATTAAATTAAAATTTTAGTTACTTTTTAATAAATAAAGTTTATTTAATTTTTGACCAGACAAACGAGTATAATTTTATTAAATTTTAATAAGATATATATGCAATAAATGGCATCGAAAATAAATTTCAATATCATACTGGCGCGCAAAATCGTGTTTCTTATTAAATCACACGCAAATGTTTGTCACAAACTCGTTTTGCTCTGCATTAACTTTCACAAGCATATGTATATAAACATATATATATACGTGAAATCGAAAGGTGGTTTAATTTTAGCCAATCTCCGAATTCAGTTCCTCGTTTAAATCACATTATAAATTCCACATATATCGATTAATATTCATAAGAATTTTTTAAAAAAGCGAAAGTTTTGACCTTTCCCAAATGCTATGTATATATATAAAAAAAAATAATATTCTAATTATATAAATATTTACAGAACATTAAAAATAATAATATTATAAAAAAAACAAGTGAATATTTCCTGAAGGTTAATAAAAATTTAAATACCTACTTAAATTCTACATTAAACCTACCTTGAACCTACTTAAATCCTACATTAAAACTCCCTTGAACCAACTTTAATCCTACATTGGATCTACTTTGAGCCTAAGTTACATATACTTTGAACCTAAAATTAACCTACTTTGATTCTATATTGAAATTACGTTAAGTCTATAATATAGCCTTAATTGAACTTACTTTGATCCTACATTAAGCCTATTTTGATTTTACTTTGATCCTACATTGGTCTTACATTAAAACTAAGTTGAGTTTATATAGAGCGATAATTGAACCTACTTAAAACCTACATTAAACCTACCTTGAAGCTACTTAAATCCTACATTAAACCTACCTTGAACCTACTTAAATTCTACATTAAACCTACCTTGAACCTACATAAATCCTACATTGCACCTACATTAAGCCTAAGTTAAATCTGCTTTGGACCTACTTTAATTCTACTTCGAAACTACATTCAACCTAAATTAAACCTACTTTAATCCTACTAAACTACTTTTTGCTTTGAATCTAAATTTAACCTATTTTGGACATTCTTTGATCCTACATTGAAACTACGTTGAGTCTACATATAGTCTGAATTGAACCTACTTTGATCCTACACTGGTCCTACATTAAGCCTAACATAAGTTAAATCTGCTTTGAACCTACTTTAATTCTACTAAGAAACTACATTGAGATTAAGTTAAACCTACTTTGAACCTACATTTATCTTACTTAGAAACTTATTTCTACTTTGAACCTAAGTTTAACTTGCTTTGAACATCCTACACTGAAACTACGTTGAGTCTGCATATAGCCTGAATTGAACCTACTTTGATGCTACATTGAGCCTATTTTGAACTTACTTGATCCTACATTGAACCTACATTAAAACTAAGTTGAGTTTATAAATAGAGTCTAAATGGAACCTACTTTAATCCTAAACTGGACCTACATTGAGCCTAAGTTGGACCTACTTTGGTCCTACACTGAACCTACTTTGAGTCTAAGTTGAACCTTTCGTGCAGCATTGATCCTTCTTAGAAACCAAATTGAGCCTAAGTTAAGCCTACTTTGAACCTACTTAGAAACTATTGTAAACCTACATTAAACCTACTTTGAACATGCATAAAACATAAATTGTCTTTTAAGGTTTTCAATGAACATTTGGTCCCAGTTCCAATGTGATTCAAGTTTAAGGTTTTCTGCAATTTCCCCGGTCACTTTGATCCTATATTGGACCTAAATTGAAATCCTATATACATAAACTAAATCCTACATTAAGTCTACTTTGAACCTATATTGGACCAATGCACTTTTAGTCTATATATATGTTGATCCTTAGAAAATGATGCTAATTAGAAACATTTTAATAAAAATACGAAGACATGTGTATATACATGTTAAGTGTGGAGGTTGTCTTGAGTGTTTGAAGATATTATATTCGAGAGGGTATAATATGTATGTATAAGGGAATCTCATATGATGTGAGTTGGGTTTTTGAAGAATGACTGGATGATTATTGTCAAATGAAAAGAGAGAGAGAGAGAGAGATGGACTTGTGCGGCGAACCAGGGCGTAGGCTTTGTGCGGTTATATAGGCGTAGGAGTAGAGAATTAACGACAAGGCGGCGGCATGTCATGGAGCATCGCATAGGGAACACAGGCCGGATGGTTAATGTCGATTTAATAGTGAGTTTAATAGCGTGAGGATTATGCAATGAAAATGGGCCCAAGGTCCACCTCCCTCCAATGACGTTTACAATATAATATAATCGGTAGCTGCATCCAGAAGGCACTTAAAGAAGGTGGATGAGGGAGGGGTCGAGAAAAATTCTACGTGGGATTAATAATCTGACCAAATATATATTCATTTCAAGGATCCAAATGCCGAGGAGTGTCTCAACAAGATGATAATGTATACATAACTTTCAAGAATATCTTCATTACTAAATTTTCAGATATACATCTTCCCTCGCAATAATATTTTCCTACAGTGAAGAGGATCGTAAAGGAAATCAATGTTTATTATTCATTGTAGTCTATTTTATGGTATTTTCATTTGAAATTATTCAATTTTTTTATATCTACAATAATTGAGTTTTCGTAATTTTCCAGTGAAGAAAGATAGAAAACAAGATAAAGAATAGAAAAAAGCGAAGAAATAGGATCGAGTGAAAAGGAAAAACAAAGTAGAAAAAAAGGAAGAGTCATTATATACAGGAACTTAGAAAAAAAGTAAGAGAGATGAATAAAAACTGTAAATAAAAAGAAAATTGAGTCCAAAACAAACGATATGAACGAAGAATGTGAGAAATCATAAAATCGAAAAAAGGGAAAACATTTTAAAAAGAGAAAAAAGAATAAATATTTGCTAAAGAAGAAACAACAGTGTGTATATAAAAATAAGAGTAAAAATACTGAAATTATGAAATTTTAAAAAAGTTGAAGGTAAAAAAGTAAAGGTTACTATAAGTAATAACGGAATTTGAAAAATGGAGAGAAGAGCAAAGAAATGAAAGAAATTCACAATGAAGAAAAGAGATGAAAAATTCATTATATGATATATAGTAAAAAAAAATGGAGAAAATGAAAAATAAAAATACAGATAGGAAACAAAAAAAAAATACAAGAAAGGAAAACGAATATCATTAGTGAAGAATATTATAACTATTCAATTTCAAACAATACCTATTATGAAAAAATAAACATAATAGCAAACTAGAGGTTTTCGTTTTATTTTTATTTTTTTTTTAATTAAACTCCAGATTATATTTGAAGCGACTCTCTTCAATTTTCTCGTGCTTCAAGTGCACTTTTGAATCACGGCAATAATGAAATTTTAATTGATTTTGCAGAACCGCTTCGACTCTAAAGTTTCGAGAAAAATGGTTAATAAAAAAGCAACGGGAATTAATGAAAAGAAAGAAAGAAAAAAAAACGAAAATGCGCTCATGAATCTTGTCTTCTTGACTCGTTTAAGAACTTCACATGTTATACATGTATATATATATAGATACAAATTTCTTGGCGAGTTGACTTTGTTTTGCCTGGGCGTTATATGTATATAAACACCAATACATATTTATTAATGTCTTATGTAGGTATATACATGAAATTGTTGTGTATGTGCTATAAATTAACCTTTTGGAAGCAAACTACGAGCACAAATTTCCTGTAATAATAATCATACACTGAATAATACATTTTCTCGACGCGATTCACAGTAATTCAAAACGTTTGGTTCTAATTTGTCGGCGCTACAAAATAATAATAATAATAATTGATCGCGCGCGCCAGCTAGCGTTCGTTGCCCTCCAAAGTTCAATTAAATAGTAATTTATAAATAAATTTTCATATAAATTTTTTTTTCTATTTTTGCAGTGACGTAAAATTTTATTGAAAAATAACCATATTCATGTATACTATTGGGTGTATCAGTTCACTGAAAAAAAAATTTATTTGATTCAAATACTCGATTATTTGACTATTATCAAATAAATATTTACTTGAGCCAAATAAATTTTATTTAAATTAAATAAATTCAGCAAGAGCTGTCTAAAAAATGTTGCCCCTTAAAATAAGACACCTTTTCTGTCTTAAAATAAGACTTTCTTTTTACTGTGTATGCAGTGTCGTTTTTTTTCGTACGGAAAAACAAGGACATTGGACCAACGGAGAATGAAACCATCTAATCACAAATCTTAAGCTTTTAAATGAGAGAGAAAAGGACAAAAGATATTTCTATCCTTTTCTCTCTCATGTAAAAGCTTAAGATTTACGATTAGAGATTTCATTCTGCTTAGGCCTTATACACTGACATACAGAAGCCACAGGGTGAGGAAACTCGAAAATTGTATTCAGGGATAGCTATATTGCCAAATTATAAAGTAAAACGTCCCAATTGTTGCGTATATGAAATGTAACATTTAGAACGTTCTACTTTATAATTTGCCAATATACCTATCCCTCTGTGCAATTTTCGAGTTTCCTCACCCTGTGAAAAATGTCCATTAAGTATACAGAAATGGTTGAATTCTATTGTCCCCATTCGCCATTTGTCATAATTCTCGTCAACTACCGCACCCTGCTCTAGTGAAAATTTAGTGACTTTATTGTTAAAATTAAAAGTTACTATAATGGAGCACTTACATCTTTGGTAAAAAAAATTTTTTTACTTTAATTTTCCGAAATGCAAAAATCTGATTAATTGTCCATTATCAGTAAGATTTTGAATAACCAATCAGATTTGTGTATTTCGGAAAATGCGAAATAAAATTTTTTTTTGACCAAAGGTGTAAATGCTCCATAAAGTTACTAAATTTTTACTAGAGCAGGGTGCGGTAGTTGACGAGAAATAGGGATGACGAATAGGGATTTTGGCGAGTGGGGACAATGGAAACGAACCAAATACAATGTAATATAAAAATTTTATCTTATAAAATACATTTAATAATTTAAACAACAATTTATAAGATTTTGTTAATTAGAACTCACCTGTGGATTTTCGACTATTTTTTCCGTTGGAAAACACAAAATTTAAATTTATCCACTCCATGGGAAGAAGAACACTGTCAACAAGATTTGGGGGGAAAAAATTGCACTATTTAAAAAATAAGGAAGACACACAATAGATAAATATATATATATATATATGAAAACTGCAAGTACTCGTCACGCATCTGCAACTCCACGTGGTCGATGGGAGTTTATGGATTCAACCTTTCGACGGACTTCTCAATAACTATGATTTTCTATCTTATAAGCAATTTCTGATTACATTTCAACTCGAATCGAAGGGATGGCGTTATTTTCGCGCTTTATTAAAGTAGATTCTGCACTTTTCTTTTTTTTTTCCTCTTGCACCCTCATACACGTAACTCTATTATATATGAAATTACATACTCCGAGAATGATTCTGTGAATCGAGATAATCTTCCCTCCTTTTTGTTTACTTGTTTTTTTTGGGGGGGAATTTTCTTTTTGGATTTTGAAATTTTGATTCTCTCTCTCTCTCTCTTTCTCACTCTCTTTGTTTTCTAATCACATGATTTTTCGGGAATTCCCCTTATTTTTTGTCTTTAGAAAATCCGTTATTTAAATTTTTTTCCTTGGTTATTGAGAAAAATCTCCTCGTCTCTCATCGATGATGGTTTTTAATTTTTGCATGCGATTTCCGTCGCCAGTACTGTGTCGGAAGTCGCGAAACATTGCGCGACCTTGAACTTCTTCTCGGTACATCAAAGTCCCTTTTTGAAGAATCCAATCATTTTCTATGCTGTAAATTTGTGGTTTTTTAAATTTCTCAATCTTGAATGAATTTTTATCAAAATTCGCAATTTTTTTTTCTTTGATTTTTCCCCAAAAAATATTGTAAAATTTTTTGTGAAAAAAATTATTAAAAAAAACCAAATAACAGAAATAATTTTTCTTTCTGTTTTGCAAAATTTTCAGCAAAAATGGGAATTAATTTTTGAGAGGGAAATTATTTGTTTTTGCAAAATACTTTGGAAATAAATTTTTTTTTTTTGGCGGGAAATTTAAATTGAAATGGCGATATTTTTTTTTGTTTTGAAATTGGCACTACACTACACTTTTACACTGGCGAATATCGAAATTAAAAATCGAGTAGACTCGGTCATCGAGTCCATTCGAGGCGGCGCGAAGCTCGAGACTGACACAGCACAAGGAGAGACTCAACGGTTTGAGAGTTTACCTGTAAAGGAAACAGAGGGAGAAAGAGTATATTGCGTTGAGAGAGACATGACAGGAACGAGTAAAAGACACCTGTGGATTTAAGAATCACATTATGGGGACGACACGTCAAAATAAATGTTGATTCCTATCAGTTTCTAATCACTTTCATTCATCTTTTGTTCCATTAATTTTTCCGAATAAATATTTATATATATTTTGATGATTCTAATTTGTATTATGCTAAATATTTTGATTTATTTTTTTTTAATACATATTTATAATAAAATTACATAAAAGAGGGGGAGGGGTGGAAAAAGGGTATAAAAAAAGTGTAATATAATATGTGGACGACCCTCAATTTACGTAAATGTTATTATTTTACGCCACATATTATTATAGTATTTCAATTCATAAAACCGCTGTAATTTTTATCCAAATGCAGATTACTTAAATTAAGAATAATTCAAGCTAATAAATATTGCTTTAAATTAATTATGAAAATTATTTCCCTCATTACTGCATGGTTTTTAAATCCAAATAAATATTTATTTGCATGAATAAAATATTTTTTTGAAATAACTAAAAAATTTCTTGAACCAAATAATATTCAATTATTCAAGATGAGTAATTGTTTTAATTGAAACTAAAACCTCTTTAATTGTGGCAAATAGTACATTATTCGATCTAAGTACTCAAATTTATTTGCGCATCAAAATAAACAATTTTTTGTTTAAAATAAATCGAAATTTAACTTAAATCAGTAATTATTGAACTCATTTCATTTCAATTTTTTATGCATTGATTTAATTAATGCAGAAAAATTTCATGTTTTTGTAGGAAAAAAGGATTATATAAATAAAAATTAATATTTTTCAACAAAAATAAAAAGGTTTTAGAAATATTTATTTACCATAATTTTCACATAAAAATAAACTATTTATTTGATTCCATAAAATAATTTATTAGCATTAAATACTGCGTTATTTTGTATTAAATAATTTAGTTTACTTGAATTAATAAAATAAATTTATTGTGTCAATTAATTTTTATCTGTATCAAAAATTTAAATATTTGGGTGAAATAAATAAATGAATTGTTTTTAAATAATTTACTATTTGTGTTAAATAAATTCATTTATCATCAGAATCAATTAATTATTTACTTGAATCAAATACAATTTATTTTGTTTCAAATAAGTATGAATCAAATAATTCATGAATTATTATTATTATTTATTATAATAATTATTATTAGCAAGTTATTTGAATCATATAAATGTTTTTTGGATCCGCAAATAAAAAAATATTTAAAACAAGTAAATATATTTCAAATAATTTGAATTATTTGAATCAAATAATTTTTTTCTTTCGCAGTGTACTTGGCGAGAATTGTGAGACCTCTGCTTTTTCGATGACTATAAAAAGGCTTAAATCTTAAAAAATATTAAATAAAATAAGTATTTTGAACGACGAAATTTATTATGAAATTAGATTTTTTTTCACAACTTTTTTAGTGCCCCTCGAAATAATTATAATAAAATATTTACTCATAAATATTAATCGAGGTTATTTGATTGTTTTAATTTCGGCTGTCATGAAAAAGGAATTGAAATTTTATTTTTCTGATACATAACTTAATGGGGTAATCCCCATTGGGATGCATTAACACCATTGGGCCAACGCAGATAATGGCCTAAGCACAACTAAGTCGGGTGCGCAAGTTGGATACGGGATATGTAAGTTCCCGCAACCGTCTTCAATTGTGCGTTGAAAAAACGGTTCCGCCAATGTTTCGCGCAATCGTTTTTTAACGCACAATTAAAGACGGTTGCGGGAACTTACATATCCCTTATCCGACTTGCGTCCCCGCATCAGTTGTGCTTAGGCCTTAATGAAACCTCTAATTGGCGATTCAAACAGCTACACTAGCGCCACAGTTGAACTAACTTAGGCGTGACTCGCTCTGTAGCACTCCATGTGTTTTAAATTATTTTTTTTTATTTAACGCTTAAAAATAATTTTACAAACGCAATAAAAATATCAGAATAATTAAATAATTTGAAATAAACTGTCAAAACAGAGACTGCTTTAGAGCGAGTCACGCCTAAATTAGTTCAACTGTGGCGCTAGTGTAGCTGTTTGAATCGCCAATCGTAAAGGCGCTTGTACACCTCACAATTTCTGAGTATATTCGGAATTTGTCAGAAATTTCACTAACTTTGATTGGCTTTGCTCATAGAGAATTTCGAAATTTTCAAATCTTTTGGAAATTCTTTATGAGCAAGATCAAAATTAGTATAACTTTTGACAAATTCCGAGTATACTTAGAATTTGTGAGGTGTACAAGCGCCTTTAATCTCAAGGCCTAAGTAGAATAGCTTCGCGAGAGACGTTCGCGAACGTGAAACATGAGTTAGAAAAAGACAGAGATATATTCGTATCCTTTTCTATCTCATGCATCTCGTTCGCGAACCTATTGTGCGTTGGCCTTTAAGCTTTTATACATGAGAGAGAAAAGGACAAAAGATATTTCTATCCTTTTTTCTCTCATGAAAAGCTTATCACCTGTTTTTAATGTTACATTCAAGAAGACTAGAACAAGGAGAGTGAACTAAGCTCAAATTGTACAGTATATAGGGGGAGCAGATATTGGCACTGCGGTAGGCTGTCCAACGAAATTTGATAGATGACCGTGAGACGAATTTTAGTATCTGCGCATACATAAATATATACAGATATGTTCAATTCTAACCTAAAAACCTTTAATATTTCCGATTTATACATACTAAATAAAATTAAATCACAGATAATTATAAACAATCTTATTATATTCGAAATAAAACATTTATTCCCTTTTCTGCAGTGAAAACATATTTATATTTTAATAAATTAAAAAAACTAACCTCATTTTTTGGAAAAGAAAACATCTGTTTTTTATTGTTATTTTCACTATTTTCACTTGCACATAAAGAACTGCTCCTGCAGTTCTTAACACAACAAATTCGCCCCGTTGTTCACTTTAAAAAATTTACACTATTAATTAAAAATTTCTCACTTTGATTAAAAATACTGAATATAAAAACACCGCAAAAACAAAAAACAGGAAAACAAATCAACGATATAAAAATATGCATGTGTTAGTATGCGCAGATACTGAAATTCGTCTCACGGTCATGTATCAAAATTTTGTTGGACAGCCTACTGTTAGGCACACTATCTCTTCCATCCCCACCACTGTACTTTGCTCTCCTTGTTCTAGTCTTCTTGGCTTAGACCTATTCTAGTATCGGTATCACCTGTTTTTAATGTTATATCTGAAGTAATGTTGATAAATTTTTGCAATCATCTCAACAAAAAAAGTAATGTTGTATGTTGATTGCATATGCTACAAGAAGAAATGAAAACAAATCGATTAATTAGTATTCTGGTGCGGAAACAATAAGAAATAATTAATCTTTGAACACAGTATAACTTGTGTACTTGAATAATTTCCTATTTAATCTATTCAACGAATGAAATTATTTAGAATATTTGACGCAATATAAAGAAAGAAACCTAAGAATCAAATCATTTTAATGTTATATTTGTGTAAGTTTTACTGTTTGTGTATTTTCAATCAAAAATTACAAACATAACCTAAAATTTTTTGCTTTTTATCTGCCTTTCTTTATATCGCTCCACATATATGTTAATAATAACAATGTCATACTTAAAACGAAGTCTTTTATTGAATTTGTAGCATTATAATTGAGGGGCTGGATGCTATAAGGTGATACGCGTCATTTAATTAATGTGGCGCGTATCACCTTATAGCATCCAACAACTCAATTTAATTATAATCTATTTCAATTGACAAAATAATATATTTAAAGAATATTTAAAGTCTGAAATAATTCAAATGAAAACCGATCTTCATTAAAAAAAATAATTTAAGCATTTCTCATCCTACTATGGGGCTCACCAATGTTGATTTCAAAGAACAGAATAAAAAGTAGAAAATTCATTAATGTCAATTTTTAAAGAAATAAGGTGCTCTCACACCTTTTTGACTGCCTGCAGGTTACCATGGCAACGCATGAGAGTGAGTGCGACAGAAAATTAAAAAATTTGATTATTCAAATTTTCTGTCTCACTCACACTCATTCGTTGCCATGGTAACCTACAGGCAGGCAGGCAGCCAAAAAAGTGTGAGTGTGTCAATAAGAGCAATTAACCTACAAAAATGAAAGAAAAATCGAGTTAATTTTAAAATCTCTCTGTCGATTTTTTTCATTTTAGCCTTAAAATCTTTCAATTTTATCAGTGAACAAATTTTTATAAAAAAAAAAAATAGTGTGGAAACTTTTGAGTTAGTTATTGTCGAGCCTAAACAAAATTTTTTTAAGAAAATTTTTGAAAAATTTTAATTGACATAAAAATTTATTCAATTGTTATGTTTGTTATTATAATACACACACATATATTATAAAATAATTTTTAAAAAAGTGAGATAGGAGGGGCAAAGAAGATTGAAAAATAGAGAGAGGGGAAAGAAAGATATATATATAAAGAATATATAGAAATGAAAGGGAGTGGATGGTCACGTCATCGACTCAATTGGCAACACTCTGTCGTTGTCAGTTTCAAGGATAAGGTGTTATTTGTCCTTGAAAAGGATGATTTAGAATCGACAAGTTCAGAATATATTTTTTTATATTTATCTCCAGACACAAAAAAGTTCAACTAAATTATTCGCGCAATTTATCTTTATCTGTCAATTAAAAGAATTTTATCAATTAAAATTCTTTTAATTGAATTATAAATGAGTAAATTATTTGTTTAATTATCTTAATTAAATTATGACTTAAAATATAAACTGTTACACTGAAAAAAATTTTTTTATTTGATTCAAATAATCGGTTACTTGACTGTATTATTAAATATAAATATTTACTTGAAGCAAATAGTTTTTATTTGCATCACATAAACTGTATTTGAACCAATAATTTCTGTATTTAAAACAAATACCATTTAATTGATTCAAATAATAATTATTTGATACAATTTTTTTTCTTTCTCGAATATATGAATTTTATAAATATAATAAAATGTTTATTTAAATTCAATTTTAATTTCATTTTCCAAAAATAGCAAATTTTTCATTAAAATAAAAATCATTATTAATGAAACGGAAGTAAAAAAAAAAAATTTTTATTTATTTAACTGAAAATCTTATAATATACTTTTTATAATTAAAATATTATTAGAATTGTTTATTAAAATTATTTTTTTTATTTGAATTTTTCTCACTGGTTATTCACGTTGAAAAATGAATTTATGAAATAGTGCATACTCGGGAAGTATGCAGTGTCCTTTTTTTAGCACGGAAATACAAGGACACTGCATACTTCCCGAAAATACACTTTATTAAAGAATTCCAACTCGGAAACGGTCTTTGAAAAAATGTTATTGTGGGCAATCCGTCGTAAGTCGACGTAAGAAATGTTAGATCGCACTAGTATTGTAAACGCACCAAAAAGGGATTCTCCCGCGCACCGAACCTGGTGACCATGATCCTGGTGACACTAGGAAACGTAGATGTGTGAGATTAGATCTAACTCAAACTGGAACGTGTGTGATTGTGTTAATTGGAGTGTACCATTACTGTGATATAAAATGAGAAATATACTTATTGATTATATATGTATATAATAATTGATTAATTTCTATCGTTATCATTAACTTCCTAAATCCTCCTTCTGTTGGATATTAATTTGGCTAATTTATTGGAGTCTAACATAACCTCTAAGAAGACAGGCTATCAGCTCTTATATTATTAACCTAGATAGCCCCAACAAATTCATATTTGTTTAGACCCTATATTTGTTTGAAAAAATTTTATAATTCAAATTTTAAATATATTTAGAAAAATAATAATGCGCCATCTGTAAATGGAGTATAAATTAAGGTTAGATCTCTGTTTTATCATCATGTATGATAATACTAGTTTTCAATATAATTTTTTTTATTAATAATTAAAACTAAGTTGAAATTTACTCAAAAGTAGGATTTTTTAATTTATCCTTTTAAAGTTACATATGAATTTTCTTTGAAAAATTTGAAATACCATTAAAAGATTAAATAAATTTCTACTATTGAAAATGATAATAAAATTTTCTATTTTATCGACATCCAACAAGTTCCTTATTAAATATATGACTATAATTTCAACAATAATTCCATTTTTTTTTTTAAATGCATGTATAAACATTTTAATAAAAAAAGACATTTTTATCATGCTTGTATTATTAAATTTATAAAATTATTTATAATTTTTGTATTATACTTGCGTATGTTCCCCGCATATACTAATAAGCACATGTTTTTCAATGTTTCTTTAAAAATGGCTCTTTTTAGTCGTGGAACGAATATTTTTATTAGTAATAATAGACATTGTTTAAAGTTAATTTCACCAATTAGAAAATTAGTGACATGTACAAATTTACCATCACAATTTACTTTTTGTGGATATTTTATTATACGACAATATTCATCAGAGACAGGTATTTATATTTTTTAAAATTAACCTTAAAAATTTTCTTTTTTCTTCGCAAATATTTACAAAATAAAAAAATTATTTCTTTAGAGCAATAACATTTTTTAAATACTATTTTTCTTTACAATTGAATGATTATTTTATTTAAATTTGTCAATATATACAAATACGATAAAAATAATAACAAAAATTTACATAACCTATAAGTTTTGTACTTTTTCTTTTTTTTTATATTTAAAATTAAAAACAAGTTGATATTTTAATAAAATGATTTCTTTTTTGGAAAGAAAAACATATAATTAATTTTGATAATTTAGAAAATTATTTTCTTTAGATAATAAACATAAATCAAAGGAATTTCTGACTTTTGATAATGTAATTAAAAGAAGACGAAATCAGGCGAAACGAAGTATTTTGATTCAAATTAGGGAAGATAGATGTATTCCTTATTTACATAAATATTGTTCGTCATTTGGTACAGTAAAACATATTTATCATTATCAACTTCCTGATAAAACGGTAAGTATCTAAACTATTATCTATTATATTATTTGAATTTATCATTGAAAATAAAAGAAAAAATATACAGGGTGATTTTTATGGAACCCCAAAAAATTTTTTTTTTAATCTCATTTCTTTCGTTTTTTAAACAAAAAAAAAAAAAATTTAGGGGCTCCGGAACATAAAAATCACTCTATATAACAATAAAAAGGCTTTTATCTCTTTTTTATATTATTTCTTTGATAATCTTTCTTAATCACTTGAAACGAATAGTTAAATATTTATGAAGAAAATTATTTCATTATTTAGAAAATGAAAACAAAAAAGAAATATATTAAAATAAAAAACCGTTTTTTCACATCTGCCCTTTTGTTTTACAGGATCACTGTTTAGTTGAATTTACTTCAGAAGAAACTGTAAATTTAGTTCTAAAAAAAGCGGAACACTTTAATTTTAATACAGTTATTCCTGTGAAGTCAGCAAATTTATATTTTCGAAAATCAACTTTTAATACCATACCATCTGATAATAATAAAATTCCAGTGACTTATGGAAAACAAATCGTCAAAATGTCGCAATTATTAAAACAATTGAAAACTGCAAATTCGGTGAAATCTATTTTTCTATTTTATTAATTGATTTTACAGGCTTCATAGTCATAAAAATTTAAGACGCATGAATATGTTCTAAAAATCATTAGTTAGAATTTTCATTCTATAGAATTGTCATAATTATTTTTGAGTCGAATTTTTATTTGTCCAAATTAGTATTTTGCAGAATTTTTAATCAAATCAATTTTCTATATTACAGAATATTTATATAACCGAAAATTCACTTCACAGAATTTTTATTTGCTCAAATTTTCATTTAACATAATAGACATTTTAAAAAATTTTTATTGGATAGGATTTCATTGCATAGAATTTTCATTTTATTCTTTCAGATGAATTTTCATTTTTTCGAATTATTATTTGATATAATTTCCATAAAATCGATTTTTCTGCAGAATTTTTAATTAACCGAAAAATCATTTAACAGAATTTCTAATTAATAGAATTTTCATTCGTCCGAAATTGCAAATGACCGAAACAACAATCGATTTTGGCGCGATTTTCAAAATCAACCAATCACAATTTTATGGATAATTTTTGATTGGTTGATTTTGAAAATCGCGCCAAAATCGATTGTTGTTTCGGTCATTTGCAATTTCGGACAAATGAAAATTTTATCAATTAGAAATTCTGTTAAATGATTTTTCGGTTAATTAAAAATTCTGCAGAAAAATCGATTTTATGGAAATTATATCAAATAATAATTCGAAAAAATGAAAATTCATCTGAAAGAATAAAATGAAAATTCTATGCAATGAAATCCTATCCAATAAAAATTTTTTAAAATGTCTATTATGTTAAATGAAAATTTGAGCAAATAAAAATTCTGTGAAGTGAATTTTCGGTTATATAAATATTCTGTAATATAGAAAATTGGTTTGATAAAGATTCTGCAAAATACTAATTCGGACAAATAAAAATTCGACTCAAAAATAATTATGAAAATTCTAACTAATAATTTTTAGAACATATTTATGCGTCCCAAAAATTTTCCCCAAATTAATTTTGTCAAATATTTGGAGTAGATTTTTAATAAAAAAAATACTTGTATAGAATTTTATGTAGAGAATATGTTTCTGAAACTTGATTTAGAAAATGGATTAAAAATAAAAAAATTTGTCTACATCAAATATTTTAAATTTGTTAACTATAAATTAATTTTAAAATTAAAATTTTATTAACAAAGAGATTCTTTAAATAAATTGCCTCTAAAAGTTAACATAAGAAAGTGATGATATTAATTAAATTAAAAAAAACCTCAGTTTCACTAATTTGTGAATGAAAAATTATAAAATATGTTTTCACAAAACAAAAATACTTCAAAGATGTACTAAATTAACCCTTTATCTTTACTTATATAATTTTCATTGTACCCTAAAAGTCCCCTATTTTAAAATTTTCAGTCCCCAAATTTCGCCTAAAATTTTTTTTTTATTATGAAGCCTGCCTTTATTATAATAACAAAAGATGACTTATATTTAATTTGAAATATATCTTTTTCAGATTTCAAATCAAATTGAAACTTGTTATTCATGTTTAAAATTGAGTGATATCGAATTGAGATTAAGGTTTCATATGTCACACGAAATTGAACGTTGTTTTATTGGCTTATTTCCTGATATTCAAGTTATGCCTTTTGGTTCAACGGTGAATGGTTTTGGAAAAACGGGTTGCGATTTAGATATGTTTATTAATCTCGATTATCTAAGAAATGTATGCACCTTTTTTTTCGTTTTTTTTTTTTTTTTTAATATAAATAATGAGAATTTTTAAGAGAACTGGAATTTTTTTTCTCTTTCATCAGGTAAATAAGGAATCGCCAATAATATTTGAAACGAAACCTTTACATCTCAATAAAAAATATCAACAGAATACAAACTTTTTAGAAACAGTTGGTGATGTTTTAAAAACTTTTTGTCCTGGAATTATGAATGTTATCAAAATAATGAACGCTCGAGTTCCAATTATTAAATTCAATAATGAATTTACGGGAATTCAATGTGATCTCAGTCATTCAAATATGTGAGATTTGAAGAATTTTTTAGTGATAAGAATTCTTTTTTTTTTAATAAAAAGAACATTTATAAATAATATAAGAAGATGATATCGATCATCCCGAGTCAAGGATTAAATAAAACACTATTCTTTACGTTTCAATATGGCACAGCCATCGTCTTCAGAAACTTAAAAAGAATGAAACATTATTTAAAAAAAAAAAGAAATTTTTCGTGAGAATAAATAAAATTTAGAAGTGATTAACCGTCTCAATAGACACTATTTCATTCTTTTTAAGTTTCTGAAGAGGATGGCTGTGCCATGTTGAAACGTAAAGAATAGTGTTTTATTTAATCCTTGACTTGGAATGATCAATATCATCTTCTTATATTATTAAATACTACCGTGTGATAGAATCAAAAATTTTATTAAGAACATTTATAATTTCTTAAATAGAAAAAATGAATTTATTAAAAATGAAATATTTTTAGGTCAGCTGTTTATATGTCAGAACTTTTATATTTGTATGGAGAAATTGACGACAGAGTGAGGCCCGTTGTATTCACTCTTCGTAAATGGGCACAACTTAAAGAAATTACCTGTGAGTCTCCTGGGGATCATATTACTAATTTTTCACTCACACTTCTTATTATATTTTACTTTCAACATAAGAAGATATTACCAACGTTGGAGCAATTAAAAAGTACAGCTCGTAAGTTAAAAAAAAATCGAAAAAGTCGATATTTTTTATTTTTAATAAATATTTCATTATTATTCACATTAATTATTATAAATTAAATAAATTTATTCTAATTCTATAATAAGAATGTTTCACAGGAACATTTCAATCAACCTTTTTTTTTTAAACTTCAGAATTAAACTATGACAAATTTTCATGTTTTCAATTCATAAGGACAGATTTTGAAAAATAATAATTTAAAATTACTAATTAAAAGAAGAAAAAAAATTCCAAGTCATTGTACAAATTATTCGAATTCACAATTTTGGCAAATGTTTTTAAATAATTAAATTTTCAAAGAAATTGATTTAAAAAATTAATTGAAATTGTCGGAAATTTGATTTGCTGAAAATTATTGGGAAAATTTTAAATTAGGGTAAGTCCACGTCAGAAATATCAGAATCTGCAAGTGGTTCTTCGATTTTAATGATACTTGGTAAAATTATAGCTTTATATAAGAGCAATGTGTAAGTAAAAGGAATTTTTAAAATATCTAAAATTGTAGGAGTTATATCACTTTTAATTTTGATACTGCATTTTTTTCTTTCCTTTATATCTCGGTCAATTTTCAACCGATTTTGATGAATCAAAAACGATTTTTTTCAGAAAATTACGTATTTTCAGAAAATTTTAAAATAAAAATAAAATTTTGTTATTTAAATAGAAAAAAGTAAAAAACAAAATTTCTTTTAGATTTTTTTTCAATTTCGACCTCTTTTTTTTAATTTTTAATTTTTTAATAATATTCCTTTTTATTTTATCTTTAATTTTAAAAAAAAATCATCCTGGAGACTTTTTTAGATCTCGTGATATCGTTCTTTAAATATCCACATCTCAAGAAAACTAGGATCCACATTTGTGTTTCTACTTTCATTTGTTTTATAATATTATTGTTACAAACTAGAAACTTTCGCGTAATAATGTTTTCATTTTTAAATTACTTGACTAAAACAAGTGAAAATTCAAGCAAATCAATATTTTATTAATAGATTTGAAGCAAAGTTTTTATTTTTTGTAATATTTATAATTTCAAATAAATTGTAATGAAACCTTAACAATGCAACCTGAAATTGTAGCTGAAGTTTTTAGCGCTTTCTTTTAGAGGATTCTAAAACAAATAGTTATTCATAACCATAAAAAATTTCAACAAACAAATGAAAGTAATGATACAAGCAAGTCCTGCAGTTTTCAAATTGATGAAGACTTATAATACTTAAAGGACGATATCACGAGATCTAAAAAAGTCTCCAGGATGAATTTTTTTTTAAATTAAAGATAAAATAAAAAGGAAATTAAAAAAAAGAGGTCGAATTTGAAAAAAAATCTAAAAGAAATTTTGTTTTTTACTTTTTTCTATTTAAATAACAAAATTTTATTTTTATTTTAAAATTTTCTGAAAATACGTAATTTTCTGAAAAAAAATCGTTTTTGATTCATCAAAATCGGTTGAAAATTGACCGAGATATAAAGGAAAGAAAAAAATGCAGTATCAAAATTAAAAGTGATATAACTCCTACAATTTTAGATATTTTAAAAATTCCTTTTACTTACACATTGCTCTTATAGAAAGCTATAATTTTACCAAGTATCATTAAAATCGAAGAACCACTTGCAGATTCTGATATTTCTGACATGGACTTACCCAATTAGTAATTGAATTTTAAAGAATTTTTAATAAAAAAAAAATTAATATTTATTACGTTTATTTAAACGTTAATAGACAAGAGAAATAATAAATTGTTTTATCTTTTTTTTAAAAAAAAAAATGTAATAACATATTCGTTTACAGGAAGAGAGGATGTGAGAATAACGGAAACTGGCATTGATTGTACATTTGCTCGAAATTTGTACAAAATGAAAAATTTTAATTCATCGTCATACGATTGTTGCGATCTTCTTATGGGATTTTTTGAATTTTATTCATCGTTTAATTATACAAATTATGGAATTTGTCTATTAAAAGGAAAGACCCAGGCAAAAAACAATAATTCACCGCTATTTATTTCCAATCCTATGGAACCAGAATTGAATGTCAGTCGTAATGTTTCCTATAGACAAATAGATAGGATTCGCTATTATTGTCAGGAAGCGTTGTATACATTGGAAATAGAGGCAAAGAATTTATCAAAATCTTCAACAATGAAGAATCAAATAGAAGATTGGGGAATTTTAAAACTTTTTCAAAACACGAATGTGGAGAAAAATGTAAAAAAACGAAATTTCGCACCACCAAATGTCATTAACATAATGAACATTAGAAATAAATCTAAAAATGTTCTAAATGATACAAAAGTTCATTTTGGTGCCAATTGATGTGTTGTATCCCCCCCCCAGTGATTTTCAAGACGATTATTGTCAATCGATCGTTGTAGAAAATGTACATATTTCAAAATTTTGATTAATGAATTTTTTTTTTTTATAAAATGTGTTCATTAATGAATTCCTTTGTGTGTATGTTGTTGAAAGTTTAATCATAATTGACGGAGAATTTTTTTTTTATAAGACATTGAACTTAAAAAAAAAAGTTGTAAATGTGATTAGTTAGATGAATTCAAATGTTTATTGAATCTAATGTTTTTGTATATAATATATACAAAAAGTTTTTTTATTTTTCTCGGAAAATATAATTTATTTAAAATTTCTGCTTTATCAACGGGGCATAGAGTGGAAACTCATGAAAAAATTTAAATTTTTCTATCAAGAAGAAATTATATTTGCAAAAATCATGAAAAAGGTAAAAAAAAATTTTTTTTTTTAATAAAACATTGTTATGGATTGTAATTTGTGTATATATTTTAATAATTCATTGTTTCACATATTTTTCGTACATATATTTCCTAAATTAAATTATTTTCAGTTCTGCGGCTAGAACATGTTTGCGCTTATACGTATCTGCCATTTAATGAGATTGAATCCTCTTTATTTCTAGTTTATTATTTATTTTAATACTTTTCAATTTATTTAAAACTAGACGTGAAAACATTCAGAAATGGAAAAAATTTTAAATCATATTTCGAAAATTGAACATTCGTCTAAAAAATAATTATTTCTTATAAAATACTTTTAAATTAAAAAATTCTGATTAATGATTTTTATGGGAAATTTATGCGTTAAATAAATAAATATAAAATTTTTATTGTAAAAAAAAAAGAAAATTAAAAAATTTCTGATTGTTTTGCAAGTCTATGATTAAAAAACGACTTTTATTTTTTTATTTTAATACTTTAATCTCCCTCTTGTTTTTTTTTCGCGTATTTTAATACGGATACGGATTTCAAATAGGCTACTAATCTGATAACCGCGCTTAAATTCGTAATATACCAGTGGCTGGCAGTGTTTCTTAACTATCTAAATTTTTAAATCCCTTTTGGGAGTAATCAAGTTTCTAACTATGTAATTCGAGTTTATTTTATTTTATGAGTAAACAAACAGAACTTAATAATTATGTTTCTTTTTAATGCAATTTTTTAATTTGATTTTTACGAATAATATAATTACTATATATTATGTCGAGAAATCATGAAAAATTGTTTTGCTTAAAAATTAATTTATCAGATTCTATTTGTTTACTCCTTAATTATTCTAAATGACCAAATTAAAACCATAAGAGGGAGCATAAAATTGAAATTAGAACCTTCAAAAAAATTATTAAATACAAAAAAAAACTGGAATCCAATATATAAAAAAAACTTTTGTTTCGATACCAAATCAGAGTAAAAATTCAAATTTATGTTTCTATACGAAAACGTAAATTAATGAGAAGTGGACTTTTGTTTCGTTTGTAACATTCTTCCGCCATATTGAATTCGCCATTTTGAATTCCGTAAATTAAGTCCTATAATTAATAAAATATTCTTAATTGCTATTAAAACAATAAATTTTTTTTTTAATTTTGAAAAAGTATACACATTAATTTTAAACTCCCTCTTAAGGTCAATATAAGTCAAAGATTATTTTCCTATCGTTGAAAACGAATTGGTGCTTCAAAATTAAGCGTATTTCCTCTCTCATAAAGAGAAATCCTAGATGTTAAAACTCCAATTTATATATATATTCAAAAATCATCAAGTAGACATCAGGAAAGTGGATTAATTTTCTATTTTTTTTGTTTGGAAATTAAATACCAAAGATTAAAAATCAGGTATCATAAATTATTTCTCTCACACTAATTTTTTCTTTTTGGATAAAAATCAACTTGTTAATAAAATTTTTTTTTATATATAGAACAAAAAATAGAACTTTTAAATTACAATCATTTAACAACTGTAACGTAATTTTAAATCGCAAATACAATTTTCCTATTTAAAAAAAAAAAAACAATATCTGAAAAATATTTGTGCGTCTCTCAAAAATGGACCACTATCGCGTTTTCATATTTAAAAAAAAAGTAGTACAAAAAATGTCCGCAAAAAAGTATCATAAAACTTTTTGATTGTAGGAAGGTTCTTCATAAAAAAGGCACATTTTTGGACAAGGAGGGAATTACATTTTCCATAAAAGGAAATAATTAAGGGGGTTGGATAATTGACATAATGTAATTAAATTTTATTTACCGTTTTTTTTTCTTTTTTGTTTGTAATTAGAATTTGATCTCATTTTTCCTATTATAATTAAATGACAAAAATTTTCCCATTAACTAATAAACATTTCACTTATTTATGTCTTATTTTAATAAATGAGATTATCCAACTCTCTTAAATAGCTTCTTGAAAGAATTTCTCAAAATGAAAAGTATAAATTGACATCATATATAAAAATTGCAGGATATAAAACATCCTTTTCTAGAAAAACGTTTTTATTTTACAGGCCGACAAGAATCTGCATAACCACAACTAAAGGCAATTTTTTTAATAGGCTAGTTAATATTAAATTTTTTTTTATTTTTTAAATTTTATTTAAAATATCTTATAGAAAAGAAAAAAACGCAATTTTATTCGAGTCTATTTTTCTTAATAAATCAAAAAAAAAAAACTCGTAAAATTTCCTTAATTTTTAAAACTTAAATCATGGTTTTAACATTGAAAATTAAATTTTTCGAAAACCTTTTTATGAATCGATTTAAAAATTTCTAAAAAATCCTTCCTTGAATAAATCATCGTATTATTATTATTACACAAATGTTTAATGCGACGATTTTTGTTTGAAAAATTAATTAAATTTGAAAAAAGAATTTTTTACGGTTTTTTTGCATTTATTAACAAAAATGTTGCACTGTTTTATTTTCTATAAGGTAATGCATTTTAAAAATTAAAATTTTTATACTTTTTAACCAGCTTGACTCGCTCGAAAACGACCGGTTATTATATTGTACGCGGCCCCTCAATTATTTTAATAATTGTATTAAAGCTTCTCCCATTGTAAATGTTTTGACTATATTGAATTTGAACACTTTTCTAAGAGTTTTGCAAAGAAAAAAATAAACCAAAATATTTCATCGAGCCGTTTTTGATAAAATCGATTTTTTAGGTTAAAAAATTTAATTTTTTTTATTTCTATAGTATATGTGCAGGATAATAATGAAAATTAATTTTATAATGTACACGGAAAAAACAAACTAACTATTTTAGCACCAAACTGCTTTATCCTTTATTAGTATACAATTTCGTTTACCTATTAAAGTGTGAAATAATGCTTTTTTAGTTTAAAGTAAGTCCATACTAAATAAGTATAATGGTTATGCTCTTATAGTAATAGTGACGTACTTCTTCTTCTTAAATGACTTGAGGCTTGGCCAACTGTCAGAACAACATAGTGACGTACTTTAAAAGCATAAAATTGATGCCCGCGAAGTACGACATATAGTCTACCTAAAATAGCAAGAGTTTCTTCCTTTTTGGTGGATAAATTCTTGCAACCTGCGTTTTGGCCTATATCGATATATCGATATATCAATGGTTTGGAATGCAACAGGGTTAGGAAACTTCTTACCAGAGTTGCACAGTTACGCGTAAAGGCCGAAAGTCGTTCGTGAATGGGATGCATGTGTTCTAACACACATGTTGCCATGACAACATGTGCGTTAGAAAAGGACAGAAAAGTGTAAAAAAAAGTGTATACCATTAATAAAAATTCAAAAATAAAATTTTTTAACCTAAAAAATCGATTTTAGCAAAAATGGCTCGATGAAATATTTAATTTTTTAAATTTTATTATTATTATTATTATTTATACATATTGGCATAATTCTTGTCAGCTACCGCACCCTACTCTAGTAAAAATTTAGCGATTATATAGTAACTTTTAATTTTAACAATAAAGACATTAAATTTTTACTAGAACAGGGTGCGGAAGTTGATCGAGAATTATGACAAATGGCAAAAGGGGACAATAGCAACCTTCCGTATATGCAAAAACATTTACAGTGTCAGAAGCTTTAGGTTCAAATCTCACCTTTTACTGTTCTGGATTCGCCCAATTTTTGTCAAAGTTTAAACTTGAAAATGCATTTTAATGCTATGGTAACTTACAAATGTAAGAGAAACAGACAAAATTGTTCTCCCTCTTCCTCCTGTACGTTACCATAACAACCTGCTAGAAAATTTATCAGTTATTAACATTCTAATAAAATATTTTTTAATAGAAAAAGACTTATTTAAACTTTTGCAAAAAGTTTGCCGCATTATTGTCCTTTTAATCATGTAAAAAAAATTCTATTAAAAATTACATTTGTAAGAAAAAAGAAACTACCTTTTAGAAAAAATACAGAAAAGTTTTTTGTCGGCCTGTGTATTTAATTGAAAAAGGGATGAAATTCCATCGGATGAGAGAGAAAGAGTGAAAGGGCGGAGAAATTTACTTAAAAAAAAGACTTCTTCGTCGTTAATTAGTTTTGCTTTTGCGATGATGACGATGATGATGTTGTCGTAATTGTGAACGTGTTTCCTGGACCGCTGCAACCAATGTACGAACTGCCTCCTCATGACCCTCGAAACTGTCCACCTTTTTCAATTGACCCAAAGCGCTGCCTTCGCTTCCGCTTCTTTTCTTTGGACCAGGAAAAGTCTCCCACCAACGCTGCTTCTGCACCAGAGATAGAGATGATCTCCGTTTGATCAAGAGTACCAGAGTTTTCCTTGGGTCCTGCGCCGCTCGACCCACCTGAAGAGGTCAGAGCGCAGAACTTTAGTGAAACTCTTCATCCCAACGATAAATATATCATTTTTCATAACGAGGAGCATTTAATAATTACGCGAAATTAGCATTAGTTTTGTGATTGTGTTTTTTTTTTTTTTTGAATTAACAATTTTCGTGTGGATGAAGACTTTTACTAGTTTCAAAGGAATTATTCCGAATTAAACTTACCGAAGCCTCAGCGATGCTAGTTTCGGACCCTGTGATACTGAGGCTGTCGCAGCTAGCGCGTCTTCTTCTTCTTGAATTATTATTTTCCCTTGAATAGAAAAGCTCCTCTGAATCACTCACTGGATAAACTTTTGGACTCTTTCGGGAACTTTTCTTTTCATCGGGAGGCACTGGATGAACTTGAGCTTGGACTCGTTTCTTGGCTTCGCCAAGTGTTGAGGCCTCGGAAATTCTCTGATATTCACAGTCGTCTGCGAATAAAGGATTTTTAGTTTCACTTCCTACGAGATTCTGTATCAAAATGTCTAAAATCATTTACCGCACTGTTGATTCTGCTGCTGATCACCTCCCTTGTCTCCTCGTTCCGGTTGATCAAGACCCTCCGCTGAATTATCTCCGGTACTTCCCTTCAAGGAACGATAGAATGAGCGAACCTTCGAATGACCAGGAGGTGTCTTTGGTTTCTGATTTTCCGGCGATTTTCTTGAGTGACGTGTTTGACTTCGATCGCGACCCTCTTCTCTACCTGGTGACTTTTTTCTATCCTCCTTAGTTCTCGCTTTGTCGATCAATTGACTCAGTACACCTCGTTTTGTATCCGATTTAGCCGGTGCCGAACCATAGACGACAATATTGCCACTGGAGTCTAAAAGTGCTCCCATTCCTCCCGATGGAGTTCTACAACGCGGTGTAACTTCTTTTGATTCTGAAAATTGAAATTCTTTAAAGAATTACTGAACCATTTTGAGTATATATATGTCTCCGATAAAAAAAAGTGAACCTTTCATGTAGAGAGCATTATCCGCTGATGGAGCAGAACCTCGAGGATGTCGACATTCTTTTGTGGGAGCTGGACCTTGAGGCTGTGGAGGTTCCTGCATTTGCAGACGAGCCAGATGATCCAAAAGGGCCTGTAAACGCTGATGACTTGCAGCGTCTGACGCAGCTGTTGATATTTCACCTGCACTAATTCCTGACGAGAAGGATTTGACAAACGGTTCAAGCTGTTGCGCCATTGTCAGAATTTGTTTCACTTCACTTCGCAGCGACAGGATGTCATTCATCTGAAAACAAAAAATATGGAACGATTTCGATAGCGTTAAAACAGCCTCTAAGTGATGTAGACTTCAAATCAATGTTACAATTATTCAGTCATCACCTGAGAGTGGAAAATCTCCTTTTCGAAGTGAATCCTACAAAGTTGTTCCTCCCAGATTGTGTCGAATATGCCCCGCAAACGTTCCAATTCAGTTTGATGATGATCCAACTGTTGCTCGAGGAATCTGCAATCCCTGGCAATGTGTTCATATCGGGATCCAACTGGAGGAGTGTTGGCTCGACTAAGTAGAGCTACATCTCGATGAAGTTCTCCTAATCGCTCTTTAACTGTTATTAACTGTTGGCTCAATTCCTTTAATTGTGAGTCAAATATTCGGCAGTGATTTGAAAAGGGCCCGGACTCTGAAGGTGTTTTTGTCGGATGTTGCAATTTCGACGGTTTGATATTCTAGATTAATGAATGAATTAAAAATTAGGCATCAAAACCAATTTTGCGAAACAATAATAATTAGAAAAAGACCTGAATAAACTGCGACTCGTGAGAAATAGTGTGTGTCAAATCATAAACGGAGTCCTTCTGCGGCTGGGTTTGACTCATGTAAGGCTGCAGAGCTCTGATGATTTCGCTTCTGTAATTAATTACCAAATGAGCATTAAGCATCGGCGGCTTATTGGGATGACCAAGTTGTGCGACTTTGCCAAGTCTCTCGAGCATATGATGAGCCAATTCCAAGAACTGATATCGCGTTGCTCCAGTGGTGAATGCCGTGCAGAGCATTAGATGCATCTGAAGAACTGGAAGTGCACTACCCAATGAAATAAGTTGCGCTCTCACCATACGTTCCTTGGACTCGTATTGACGTTGAAGATCGGACAAAATGGAATTGTGACTCTTCTGAATGACGTCCTGCATTCCTTGGCAGTAAGCGTTGAGACTTCGCTTCTCGGACTCGAGACTGTGACGCAACTCATCCAATTGGGACTTCAAAGCTAAAAATCCATCCTTCACGCCAACTTGAATTTCGCAAATGGAGTTTGCGGCTCTTTCTATTTTTTTGGAAGCTTGTTGCCAAGCGAGGTCGATATCAACGCAGTGAAGGCGGGAATCTGGCGGGGTTTCTCGAAAGCAAGTGGCACAAAGCATGCACTTCGCACTTTGACTATACATTACGTACTGCTCCCCGTGGGTGGGACACCGACGTTGGGTGTCCTTTGCACACTTACTCATGTGCACCACCTCGTGAGTTGAAAACATCTTTGCTCGATGAGTGTGTTCTCGACAGTGGTTGCACAGAGCTTGACCTGAAATTGTATTTTTCCATATTATAATTATTAATGGAATTTTCAACAATTTTTTAGAATTTTAGGTTTTTTTTTAAAAAAAAAGTCTTAAATATTGGTAATAAACAATTCTTTTTCTATTATACGATTTTTAACAATTTTACACGACGATATCGATTTTTTTGTCAGTTTTATATTAACCCCTTCGCAGTCCAGTAGAAAAATCCCAAAACAGTCCAAAAAATATCGTATCACCATATAAAAGTTTTTGTGGTCGTTGAATCCAAATTTGAGGTCAGATTTAAAAGATTCAAAATGGCGGTAAAATTGTTTCGATTCTTTTAAATTTTGGTACTCGTGGGTTTTGAGGGTCTATGAATCCAAATTTTGAATTTTTTTTAAATCTGACCTTAAATTTGGATTCAGCGACCCTAAAAACCCCCGAGTACCGAATTTCGAAAGAATCGAATCAATTTAAAAATTTTCCGCCATATTGGGTCGGCCATTTTGAATTTTTAAAATCTGATCTCTTTGAATTCAACGACTTAAAAAACCTCAAAAGAACCATTTTCATGCAAATCTGGTCAATTTAAAAATTTTTTTGGAAGCCATATTGGGTCCGCTATTTTGTAAATTTGACATCAAACTTGGATTCAGCGACCCAAAAAAACTTAAGGTGCTTATATACCTCAAATTTCGATCAGATGAACATTATTTCTGGACCGTGAAAATGCGTGAAAAGTCATTTTCACGGCGGGTATTTTTGAATTGTTTTATACAAAAAATGTTTTTTTAAGAAATATAATATTAAATAATTGTTTTAATATGTAAGAACACTTTAAAATAGTGATAGAGAGATGATTTGATTAAAAAATTTAGCAAATTTTGCTTTAAAACGTTTTCTGCTACAAGAAAGTATAAAATGACGATGTTTGTGAAATGGTTTGTACAGTGCTTCTTCCTTGTGAGTGTTTCTCAGAGTTTTGTTTATGTTATGTCGGTTCTTTTTAACTTGTAATAAATAATGAGTGCTGAAAATAAATCGGTAAGTTGAAATGTTTATCAAATAAATTTAAATTCAACTAATTGTTTCGAATAACTGAAAGAAACATGTAAACATGTACACTGTACAAACCATTTCACAAACATCGTCATTTTATACTTTCTTGTAGCAGAAAACGTTTTAAAGCAAAATTTGCTAAATTTTTTAATCAAACCCTGGCGGATCGCATGGACTGGAATGGGACTGAACTCGGTCCGATTTCAGTCACGTTTCGGTTCGATGTGGAAAAACCCATGAAAAAGGTGGAAAATGGTGAAAAAAACTATTGGAATAAATAAATAACTAATCCAAGGTTTTATTCCTGTAATAATTTATTTGAATTCAGCTTTTATTAACTTATTATTAATGTTGAAAGTCAAAAGGTGCCCACCTGTCACTTTAATTTAACTGTTGTGAAGTAAAATACTATTGTACCGACACTGGGATTGTCGCGCGCAAAACTCCATAGATGTCAGCAGGGGTTTTTTCTTTTTAAAAATATTATTATTTGTAAAAATTAAAATACAAAATTTTGTTTTAATTCTTATGTTTAGGTGTTAATCGATTAATCTAAATTGTTTCAATAAAAATACATTTACTTATACCGTGCATGTTTTGAGCAAGACCTAATGGATGTCGGGAACTATGCGACCACATGAATACCTGTATGTGCGTGAAATAGATATGAAACAGGGGCCATTTTTAAAATTTTATTGTGGTAAAAACAGCACTTAATTGTGAAAAGCAATAAGTAGCATAAAAATAGTGCATTAAATGTGACGTTTCAATTATTACAATAAATTTTAATATATAATAAATAGGTTAATAAATATATTCTAATAAATAAAAAAAAATTTGAATATTTCCAAGGCAGAAAACTATTGAAAACATTAATCAGTAAATTTTTCTAAAATTCTGCTATAACAATGGTAAAACAGGAATAAAAAAATGTTTAATTCAAAAAATTAAATTTTGAATAATTGAATTTATTGTAACCATAAAAGAAAGAGGAATATTTACATAAAATTAAAAATATTTTTTTAATAAAAAATGATTTTTAGATAAATTTTAATTTAAAATTTACAGGCTTTTTTCAAATTTTCCGTGTATAATTTAAAAAAATGCTATTAAAATTATTAAATCGATTTAATTATTTTAGAATACATCAATGGAAAGAATTTTAATTCATTAAAATTTGTTTACATAAAAACAACTTAAAAATTAAAAGATTGAAACGACATTTTCAGTTATATGAAGGAATTAATTTATATTTTTGACAAAATCTTTTTTGTACTGATTTTTTAGAGGAATACCATGATTTATAAAGAAATAAGGCAAACAAATTTTTGACCATTTTTCAATCGGAAATCGAAAAAAATTTACTTTTTTGTAAAACTGGAATAAAACAAAACCCATCCGTAATTAAAAAAAAATTATTATTAAAATTAAATTGACACCTAAAAAATTTTAATAATTTTTTTGTAATTTCTAAAATATTTTAAAATCTTATAAACATTTTTCAATTTTTAATGTTAATATTAAAAATAGCTGTATGTTTTAAAAAAAATTAAAAATGTTTACTTGTTAAAGAAGAAACCAAGATGACATTTTCATTTATGTGACAAATTCATTTTTAAACTAAATTGTTGCGAGGAATTCAATGGTCATAAAAAAATTAAGTAAACAAATTTTTTCACTATTTTTCGAAAATCGAAAAAAAATTAAATTTTTGTTAAAAATGAAATATTTCAAAATCCATCCTTAATTTTCTAGAATATATGTTTTTTATTAATAAAATTTGACAGATAAAATTTTTGAATTTTAATTTTATTAATTCATTTTTTTCGATTAAATTTTTTTTCACATTAGTATTAAAAATTGAAGAAAAAAATAATTTATTAATTTCTTCTTAATTTCTAAAACATTTTAAAAAGTTATATAAATTATTATTTTCTTTTTTGATTTTTAATAATAAAATTAAAAATGTCCGTTTAAAAATAAATGAATATTTAAATCGAAAATATGTTTCAAAAACAGTTATATTAATTTATTTTTAATATATAAACATATTTTTTGAAAAATTACGAATAAGTTTTGAAATATTTAATTTTTATAAAAAAATAGATTTTTTCGATTTAAATTTTTTTTTAAAATTTGTTTACTCAATTTTTTAATAGCCATTGAATTACTTTCAAACCATTTTTATAAAAATTATTTTGTCTAAAATTTAAATTAATTACTTCAAATGTCTGAAAATGTCATCTCTGACTCCTGTTAATTATATAAATAAAACTAAATTCTAGAAATATTATTGATAATAAAAGAAATCTGTCAATCGTTATTATAAAATTATTTTTTGGTGACAAGAGAAACAAACATAATTTTCGCTGTAGCAATAATTGCACCAAAAACATAATAAATAATTCTTAATAATTAAGGGGTCATCATTTTTCAAACAAGTCAAAAAAAAAGTTCAAAAACTTTCAAAAAACATTCAAGAAAAAGTTCAAAATAAGTTTCTAAAATTTTTAATAAAAAAATTTTTTTTGTATAACTTTTTAACAATTTAGTTTTTTACAAGTTTTAAATAAGCAATTGTTCTCTCGAAGTAAAATTGACCGATTTTAAATTACGTACCCTACTAAATATAAAACCTTTGAGAAAAAAATGTTCCTCAATAAAAAATAAGATAATTAATAATTATTTGTTTATAAATTTTTTAAATAATAACAACTATTATTTGTTTTAAATAATAATTACGTGTAAAGAGACTATCAAATTAAACGCTATAATTATTTTTGTCAACTATATTTCAAAAAAAAGAAAATTTCTTTATTTAACCTTCGCCGGACTGGATACTTTTTATATACACGGTTGACAAGATCCCACCCAGGGTGGGCCAAATGTTTTCTTCTTTGTATATTGCAATAAAAACTTAGAATCATTCAGTTTTTTTCCAAAATTGTTATATGTTACCAAATAATATATTTTATTAATGTTTTGTTGATTTTTTATTTTTTGAACAATTTATTATTAATAATTTATAACTTTTTCAAATATACATACGACAGTAGAAGAATTTTATAAATTTGTTACCTTTTCTTCGTAGTTATTAATTCAAAGGTTATAAATAAAATAAAATATATAATTCAATTTGCAACAACTATTATTATAAATTGTTTAAACAAATAATTGTTGCTATTTATTATTATTTTTCATAATTTTCCTAGAAAAATGCAGTATTTTTTCCTATTGTAAAATTAGGAAAAAGCTGCATCTTTCTAGGTGCACTACAAAAAAGTTAATAAATAACAACAATAAATTGTTTAAACAATTGTTGAATTAATAATTTTACATCAAATCTATCTTTTATTATATTCCGCTTGATAAATTGCAAAATTAGAAAAAAACTGCATCTTTCTAGGTGCAGAACAAAGAAAGTTAATAAATAATAACAATAAATTGTTTAAACAAATGAAAAATGAAATATAATATTTTTTATATCTATTATTTGACATCATAAAACACTCACAGTGAAAAGTCTGCATGATTTCAAGTCTTTTTGTAAAATAGAATTAAAAAAATATCTGAATCATCCCGGTTATATCCGTACATACATTGATAAAAGTTATAAATAATCAAGAAGAAATTTTTTTTAAAAATTTGTTTTTACATTTTTTGAAAGTTCTTAAGATTTTGTTCAGTGACTTAAAATCGTGATTCAATTAAGGAAAAACTTTAGAAGATATGGCAATTTCAAATTTGTCTGGCCCACCCTGGGTGGGCATCTTGTCAAGCGAAGGTTAAGACTTAAAAATTAAATTATTAATAATTTCAAGGACAATTTTTTTATCTGAAAACTTTATACGCATAATTTAATAATATTAATTATAGTAAAAAATTTATTCATCGTTAAAAATTAAAGTATTTTTTTGCTCACACGCATGAATAATTTTGACCATAAGCAGTACAAAAAATT